ACAATTTGCTGCAGAATTATTTCCAAGTAGCGAGTGATTCCACGTTTGAGGACGCCCGATGTTGATGAGGTTTTGAAGGTAAAAACTGGCGAAATCGGAAGAGGCGGTCCGGAGAGATAGATGGAGGTCGGCAAAGGCCAAACTGATGCATTTGAATTCACAAAGAGAGAAACGCTAAACAATGACAAAATCACAACGGAGTTTAAAACACTCATCTTTGGAAGCCCATTTGAAACTACATAGGCAAAAGTCCAAACTACCACGATAAAAAAGAGTAACAAAGCAGGCTGAGGCAGGCAGCAGGCAAGCAGCCGACCGGAAATTGAACAATCGGCATGCCCAATGCTCGCTCGGCTCTATTCGGCTTCTATTCGGCACGTCCGAGGCTTGTCCGTATCCGTTTAGTGCCTGGATGCCAAGTTAAAAGCGTGGTTACAATGCAGTTAAAGGTGACTCAACCTTTGCTAGAGGAGCGTTTATAGTTGTATTTTCTTCACTAATATGACACTTCAGTGGACATTCGCAGCTGGTTTTCTTTACGCTGAGATAGGCGTTCTCCTTTTATTCTGTTTGCCTTTTATTTCTCCTAAACGGTAAGATTTTGCGTTCACGATTTCCTCACATGGCATCACAGCTGCATCAGCTGTATTCTTTTGCACTGAAATGGCTTTGTTTTTATCTTACACCTTTCAGATGGGACCAAATTTTCAACTCCAGGATTGTATCAACGTTATTTGAATATGGAAATTTCTATTTCAACGTGGTTGTGATAGTAATGGCCCTGTTACTTGCTGGTAAATTCTGTTTATACATTCAAAATGCGACTTTGGAATGAGCTTTGGTGTAGCCAAGCCTAGTTGAAGATCGCCAAATGGAGATTTATTAATACTCTGATTGTCGAGAATCCCTCGATCGTAATTTAGTTTTTCAAGTCTTTCTCAAGTTTGTTGATCGTACAATAGGTCGCTGATCTCCATGGTAAGCTTAATGAGCTAACATATATTTTTTTGTTTTTCTGCTTTTCAATTAAACTGTTTATAACCTCTTGATGAATGCAAGATATCCATACTGAATACGCATCGATCTAAGCTCGTGAAAACTTAATAAAAACGGAAAATTATTGAGAATACAGGGTGGTGTTATGAATTTTTTGTAGAACTTTGCTTCCGGGAAAGTAAGAAAGTCTCTTTCACTTCTTACTTTGGAAGTTAAGGGCGAGTCATCGTCTTCTATATTTGGCAAGGATGTACTTTGTTAAGAATGTTTGAGGTGATAACATTGACCAACATTGTTTTTTGAGGTGATGCAGCATAAAAGATGGGAGCTTTTCTCGAGTTCATTGACTTTTAGTCATCTCTCAGTAATATTATTTAAGGAGCTGCTTTAGTTTAGGGATGTCACCATTAGAAAAAAGGATAGGAGGTTGGGGGTAGGCAAACACATTAGTAAGAAAAAGTCTCCACACGCATCAAAAAAACTGTTTGAGGAGAAAAAATAGAAATCCACCTCAGGAGTAAAGAGAAAACTGTCAAAGACCTCCCAAAAATTCAACCCAACCCTTTACTTTCCTACTCATTACAGGCTTAGGCCAGTTCAGGAATTTGGGTCCCCGCTGCTTAGGTAAAAATTTTTTACCAAAGTCAAAGTAGGAGCTGAAAGAGGAACCAAACTAATATAAAAAAGAAGACCAGCCTGACGAAGGTGTTATAAGCCAGATTAATCCTGACACGTTTTAGCGGCAAATTTTCCTCATTAAGGTATATGTGTTTTCTTGAACTCCTGATATGTAATACAATAAAACAAATAAAACAGTGAGACAGGGCTACTCTTTCTTTGCTGTTATATTTTTCATGGCTAGCGGTTTCGTGCCGGCTTGGTTAAAAAAATTACATCACCGGAATTTTCAGTTTTAAAACGCCTTTATATTAGTTGCCATTGTATTGGTAAAGGATTACATAAATAAATTTGCTTTTCATTTTCATTTTTCTATATTTAGAGAAAAATGAAAATTGAAAATCAATTGTCAATTTTTATTTTTCATTTTTTAATTTAAAAAAAATGAAAATTGAACACAGATTTTCATTTTTCATTTTTCAACTTTCAGAAAAAATGAATGACCCTAATATACACGCATTCATTATCAGTAGTTTATTTCTTAATGAAGTTTAAATCACGCTCTTCAAAAATGACTGCTATAAACACAGTTGAATTAGCGCAAAATGGACGTTTACAAATCTTTTTGTCGCCAAAAGAAGTGTATTTTGCTTTGGTGCAGTCAAAAGTGCATCGATCTGGCTAAATAATTAATCAAGTTATTTTTATAAGCACTATAATAGACAAGTTTATGCTAATGTGGAGTTAAAGAGAGGGAATGAAATCAAACCAGCAAAGTTAAATTAACTTGAAAGGACGTCATTTAAACGGGTCCAAATTAAATTTCAAGCACGCACGAGATGTCCAGTGTTGACTTTGTGCTGGAGCGTTAACTCGAAACGCTGAAAATTACTCATTCAGCCAAGCAGGGCCCATGTTTTCATATGATCTGAGGATCGGTACAATCACTGACAAAAATCCAGCGAACTGAATGATAGTAGCTGATCTATAGTTACGATAGCGAAATCAGTCAGTAGGTGGTGGGCAGAAAATATAATATGGTCATCCGAAGAATACAAAAATTGAAGAAGATAGACTAAACCTTCGTATTAAAAGAAATTAGAGATTGTAATACATCATGCAGTTAATTAATCATTTACTGTGCTCGGAAGGATTCTAAATGATTTATAGCACAAAATTGAAAGTCTCTTGATCATTGATAAAACAAACAACAACAGATTTTCGTGGTTATTTTCTCGATAGACCATTGGTCTTTATCTGTCATGGATATGGAGAGCATTGCTCATGCTACCAGAGGCTTGGAAATACTTTAGCTGAACAAGGCTACCTCGCCGTCAGTCAAGATCATGGTACGTCCCACTCCTCCCTTGTTTAATCTCTTCCGCGATACAGTAACTGCATTTAATCATACTTTCTCGGGAAAAGGGGGGAGGTGTGGGGGGGGGGGGG